TACAATGCAGTGCTTGTTCGTGGCATCTTCCTTGTTGGAAGGTGTCAGTAGAAATGTGTGTCAACAGAACTAAAACGAGCGTAAGCGCTGCTACAGTCAAGCCTGATAATAAAACATGAGTCACCGTTATTCAATCATTTACTAATGCACGTTTTGCAAAAAAGTTATCTCATCTAGGAATCATCACCACCCAAAGCTGAGAGGTGTTTGGGTTTTTTTTATAAAAAGAGCGCTGTGACTTCGTTTTACCGCGTAGCTGAGTCTTCGCAGGGTTGGTGCCTGTGATCCCTACCTGCAGCCCGCCGCCCCGCTCCCTTCGCATGTCCATTTCAAACCCAGGCAGGACCCCCTTGCCCCGGTGTGTCCCACCACTTACGCTCTGCATCACAGGCAGAAGCCTGCTGGCCTTTCCACGCCGTCCTTCCTCCTGGCAGTTTTCATGCCCAATGTCTCCCGGGCACCAGGAGCCAGCCGGCAACAAGGAGGGGGCTGCCGGGGCCCCCCCCTGCTGCCATCGGTCCCCCCGCACTGCTGCAAGCCTGCGTCACCTGGCTGGCCGTAGTTTTACGGGACGGGCGTTTTCCCCGTGGGCAGGTTGAGGAAGAGTGCGGTCAACCCCAGCACCTCGGCGAGGGCGGCTTTGTTCCCAGAAGGGCACCATTCGCGTTGGTGTCAGGGATGCCGCGCCTCGGCTGGGATTTCTTCCCAGACATTTCTTTGAAAACATTGGTTTCAGTCTCCGTAACAAATACACTCGCCAAAGATCGCAGCGCATGGCCTCGGTTTCCCCTCGATAAGCCTAATTTTTTGAACAGCGTCTTGCAAAGAGCATTTAAATGGTGACCTCTTGCTGCTGTAAGGTGTGCAGGGAGCTGGGTCCCTTCCAGTCATTCAAGCTGCAGCGTTTGGTCTTTCCTGTTTTTATTGAAGAACTTTTGGGAGGTCAGAAATGTGCGATTTGAGCTTTTGCCGCCTTAATAGATGAAAGGCTGCTGGAAGCATTAGGATGAACTTCCTTTGTGCCAAATGCCCGCCGTTTAAGTCAAAGAGGCTTTAACAACGTACGCAAGATTTTAAAAGGTGTAGCTGAAAACCCCACGCTTGCCTGCCTCGCTCGCTCCGTGCTGCTCCGCCATCTCACCGCTTGGCTTGGTCTGGAGCACTCCTGCTGCAGGGAAGGCTGGAGCTCCTGGTGTAGCAAACAGGTAGACTAAGCTAATTTATAGCTCAAGTCTTTTATTCCATCATGAAGTAGCAGAAGGGAAGGCTTGCCTCTCTGGCGGGTCACCTCTAATAGCAATCGCTTCGGAAAGATGGATTTCAAAATTAGGTGCTCTCGAAGCAGAAGCCACGCTGTATTTTTCAAAGGCACAAAGCAGCTGTAAGAGCAATCTGACCTTCATTCTTAATAATAAATTCATTGGGGGGGGCTGGGGGTGGGGGGGGAAATCCATCTTTGTTTTTCTGCTTGAAGTATTGTCAAAAGAAAAGCCGGGGCACAACATACACAAAATAAAAGACAACTTCTGCACAGCGATACGAAACTCTCGGAAGATTTACTTTTCCTATTTTCTTATGCAAACATTGGAAGAAAATCTGAGCGCTTGTCTACATTATTTTGGAATAAAGGACGGTGTTAATTTAAAATGAACCTACTCTGGGCTAAATTAATACCACCTTCAAGTGCTTTTCAGATATGGGGTGCAATCTAGTAGCAAAGCCTGGGCAAAAGCTTGTCGATAAACACCCATGTTTAGGCCCTGCACGGGACTAGCTCACGTGTACAACGTCCCCTCCTGTATTTCAGGGGCTAAGAGAACGTCTATCGCCGCCTGCCAAAGCAGAGCATCACACACTGCTATTTTCTTCTACAGCAGCCCCAGAACGATGTGATCTGGAGCCTGTAGGCAAGTACAGCGTGACGATAAGCTAAAGAATATAATGAGGGGACGTTGTTTGAAAATACTTGGGAGTTTTACTGTTGTTATTATTAAAAAAGAAGGGTATGTTTGTGTCCTGAAAGGCTGCAGCTGGTCAGCTGCTACCGGCAGAGCCTGCAACGGTGAAAATTAACCACCTCTTGTATTAAATACTGTGTATTGTGGCGCACCTCTGTTACAGGCTTGGTATTGAATAACATATTATAACCCAACGCCGGGCACTGGCTTTACTCCTTTAATCTTCTGTCAGGCGTAGCTGGGAAGGCAGAATGGGAATGTTTATTCTAACTAGCAGGTTTAAGCCTTAGGCTAGCAAGAACGAGGAAAGGGGTTTTTTTTTCCAAGCTCGGCTTGTCACCCACCTAGAAAGTCTAACGCTGCTGCTGCTGCAGCCCGCCCAGCTGCTCTTCTGGTGGAGTTACTCAAACCCATCTTCCCGCTCTCTAGCAAGCCGAGACCCAGCTGTGACTCGGCCTTTTCTCCTTCACGCTGGGCTTGTTACACCGCTAAAAGGCGCCGCCGTAAAGGGGCTCGGTGTCAGCATCGCCCTAATTACGCCGCAGAAATCTTTTCAGCCACTTGATACCTGTTACTTCAAGGTTTCCAGGGGCCCGCCTGCCTGGACGGAAACATTTTGTTAAATAAGCTCAACTTTCTGCTCGAGCCAGTGTGATCACCAAAAGCACAGCAGAAGGGACGAACACTGTCCGTACGTTTAGTTAAACCAGTTTAAAATTACAGAGCAAAACTAGAAAGCAGGTGGCTGCGACTGCAGCTTCCCTTCAGGACCATCAGAGACAAACAACCGTAAAACCGCTTCATTTGGCATTTGAGATATCGTAACTATGACTTTTTAACATTCAAGTTATCTCCAAACCAATCCCTGGTTTTGTTTAGAACTGGGAAAGCCATTTTTTCCTCTCCCATCAAGCACTTAATGTGAACGTTGAAGCCCTAGGAAATGCTTTTTGTCTCAAGAGCGATGCCAGCGCTGTCCAGTTCCTGTGTAGGGGACCACCGCCTGAACGGTCCCAGTTTCGCCACTTGTCATCCCCCAGCAAGCACCAACGGGATCGCGGGGAGGCAGATTCAAGCAAACCAACCTCAGATCAAGTAATCCTGTAGGAGCCAAGCCTGACCTATTGGTACGGGGAACAAGGCACAGTTTCGACCAGGATTATTTAGCTGCTGGAGCTCACAGGGGAGCACAGCCAGGGAACGGGAAGGTCCTTTCCAGCGACAACTCTCAGAAGCTCGTATTTTATTTTAGAAGGAAAATTAATCTACTTAGCTATGGTATTCCCCCCCCGGCACCAAAACAGTGGCTTCTTTGTTTCGGAAGTTTTCTAGAAGACACAAGCGAAGGCTTCAGCCCAATACGGGCGCGCGAGCTCAGCCCGTTGACAGGCACGTACGTACCAGCCGCTCACGAGAAACCCGTGGCCGTGCTGGGGCGCGCTGGAGGCCTTGGTTCGCCTCCCAGCCACCAGCAGCCTCTGCAGAGCAGCACCACGGGTTCTTTTTCCCTAGCAAGAAGCGTTTATAATTATTGTATTACCTTCAGCCTTGAGCATGCTCTGCTTGTTCTCAACGTGCTAACCCCAAAGATAAAGGCACACGCCATGCCTGGCTGCCGGGGAAGCGCTTGCTACTCATCCTTTAAGATCAGCTGAATCCTCTACGTTACTTCTGTCAACATCAAGCACCGAGAACAAAGGCACAAGATTACAGGGATCTCATTAAGTATGTTTGTTCCAAGAACAAGAAATGTGTCTACTTTCCTCTGATGACCTGGGGAAACAAAAAAAGCCCTTCAGCACAGAAAATTTATTTGTAATCAGTTGCGAGCATTCGAATGGGTAATATCCAGGTTAAGAAGAAAAAAATATCAAATAAATTCTCTCTGTCCTAAGCGTTCCATATCGAGGCCTTGTGAACAGCACGGCTCTGTCTGAAACAGAAAGCAGGGATGTACATATCTGAAAACACCAACACACACGCAAAAAAAAAACCCCTTCGGATATCAAGTGAGCCATTTAACTAAGTATTTAAAACCTCTGCAATTATTAGTTTATTAGTATCATCCAGGATTCAGATGTTCAATATTTCTCCTGAAGTTATACATAAATGCAAATTGAAATAAGAATCTGAAAGTCAAAATTGTATAACAAAACAATACTCCATCACAAAAGCGTGTAAAATTACAAGAATGCTTTTTTCTTTTTTTTTTTTTTTTTTTTTTAAACACTGGCACTTAATAGAACCATAATTTTGTAACCACAAAATTGCCAAATTGTCCCCCAAACTGGTAAGCAGGTATATGTGAAAATAGTTACAGTTGCCAGCACTTGAAGTTTTACTAAATATGCAAAAAAACCCTTAGCTTTGGTTTTGGAAGAGAACTATATTTGACCAAATTAGACATTGTTGGTATACCATAAACATTTCACTTTTTAATGCAAAATTTAATAAAATGTACTTTTCCATACAGCTATATTTAACTTAAAAATGGGCAAACATCAAGAGTGCGGTATAAAACCTAACAGGAAAAATACATCTTATCTCATTTTCAATTTGAGACAATATACAACTTTGTTTAAAGGGCTAAAACTAGAATTTCAAGAATACAAATATGAATTTACATAGATTTAACAAATAATAATGGTACCATTTATAGAAATCTTAGAAAGAAAAATCATTTCTTGTGGGCCATTTGCTACCAGGAGAGTTTCATGGTATAAAGCCCGCGGCCATCACCAGACCTGTCACCAAAAAATAATATGGTAATTTCATGCTTTTAACTTTACACATTTTAGGTACGCTCATCCCTCGCAAGTGTTCAGAGATTTACAAATACAACTTCCATTACATGGTAACGGAGTCACACATGTAAATTTCTCCACACCGGATGGACATACACTCTTCCTATGGGTCCTTCTAGGACA